CATAACATTCACCAACATTATATTGTGCTCGAATGTTTCCGCCCTCTGCTGACTTGAGGTAGTGTTCAAACGCCTTTTCAAATTCACAAACACAACCAATCGCATTATCATAAAAGTATCCCAACATATTTATTGCTGATAAATTGCCTCTTTCTGCAGATTGGGAACACCAATAAAAAGCTTTATCAAAATCTTTGCTTGTTCCGATACCATCATAATAGGATTTTCCGAGTAAATATTGGGCATAGGCATCGCTGCAGTCAGCTGATTTTTGATAATTCTCGAAGGCAAGTGTAAAATCTTGACTAAATACAATTCCATGGTTGTAAAGGAACCCCAAGATTGTTGTATATTCAGGTGAATTTTGTGAAGTTGAAATTGTTGAGAAATCGTATTGCTGTTCATCGATATATTGTCGAAGTCGCACAGGAATACCGGTGTTATTGTTTGAATCAAATAATTTATGAAAGAAATTTAATAATTGGTCCATATCGATATTGATTTCTGCTAATTTTTGGATCTTTAGTATCGAAATAGATTTTTAAACCACCAATTGTCGTTCTTGTTATCTTCCTGTTACAATACGTAACGGTAATAGCAATAATATTCCGTTTGGCGTAAATAATTACATGTTACTCAACAAACAATTACGTACTATTTGCATAATAAACCAAATTAAGAAGATAAATTTTTTCATGCAAAAATTTATTCGTCAATACTACGTACTAGTACGTATATCAATAACGATAAGCAAATTCAAGCAATTTGTGTAATTGTGTGCTCTCGGAGAAATTCGCTTGCAAAAATATGTTGCGATAATAAAAATTACGCCGAGAGCTTTCTACGTATATTAGTTTTCAAATTTACAAAACTACGTATAATCTTGAGCATAAGGAATTTTTGAACTATAAAAAAAATTTACAGAATTGCTTAGAATTCACAAACTATTTTACTTTAAATCTTTGATGAAGAGATGTATATCATAATAAGTAATTGAAAAAAGCATAGTCTTTAATTTTTCGGTTTTAATAAATTTTCCTTGAAATTTAAAATTGATTTGAATATTCACTTGTCAACGTCATTTATCAGGGGATGATTTAGGGAAAATTGAGCGAAGTTGCAACTTAAATTAGGTAGTGTTGGGAATGTCTATGTGAGAACGCCTCAGTTTTTAGTAATCTTTTGAGGTAATATTTTTGGCAAAGCTTGTTTAACAAATTTTTTGAAATAAAATAACTATCTATATGAGGAAAAAAGTTAGATAAAATAAATTAAATTGTAAATCTAAGAAATAACTGTTCAATTGCATAATAATAATCTCCTCGTTTGCTTGCATTTTTGTAGCATTTTAAAGCCTTATCGATCGCTTTAGGAGTACCAATGCCATGCTCATAGCATCGACCAAGCGAAAAAATGGCATCAGGATTTTCAGACATCACCGATTTCAAGTAACATTTGAATGCTTTGTTTAAATTTTGTTCGGTTCCATTACCACATTCAAAACGATATCCAATCTCACATTGAGCTTTTGCATGACCATCTATTGCAGCTTTAAAATACCATTCGAATGCTTTTTCCTGACTTTTGATCGTACCCATACCCTCCTCATAGCATATTGCAAGATTGTATTGTGCCATTGTGTATCCACCTTTTGCAGACTGGAGATAACACTCAAAAGCCTTGCTCTCATCTTTCTTTGTTCCTACGCCAGCATTATAGCAGACGCCAAGGTTATTCTGAGCACCAACGTGTCCACTTTCTGCTGCTTTTAGATTCCATTGAAAAGCTTTGTTCGGATCTTTCTCAGTTCCTTCACCAGATTCATAGCATAATGCCAGATTATATTGGGATCTAATGTTCCCGCCTTCTGCCGACCTGAGATAGTGTTCAAACGCTTTTTTGTTATCACTAGTACAACCAATTGAATGATCGTAAAAGTACCCTAATGTAGTCATTGCAGATAAATTGCCATTTTCTACTGACTGGAAACACCAGTAAAAAGCTTTATCAAAATTTTTGTCTGTTCCAATTCCATCATAGTAACATAATCCAAGTAAATATTGTGCATAGGTATCATTTATATCAGCTGATTTTTGGTAATTCTCGAATGCACGCTTGAAATCTTGATCAAGCAAAATTCCATGGTTGTAAAGAAACCCTAATAATGTGATATATTGTATGTTCTCATGTGAAGTTTGTAAAATGCTTTTGATTTTTGAAAAATCAAATTTTTGTTTCTCAATGTATTGTTGAAGTCGAATGGGAATCCGATTGATGCTATCACAGGAATCAAACAAATCTATGAAGAACTTTAAGAATTCGTCAATTTCTACAGATTTAACGGTAGTTGAGTTTATGATAGCATAAGAATATGTGTGAGGGTAATATCATTAACTAATACCTTTAGCAATATTTTTTGTATCCATTGTAAAAAATTTTCTCCAAGTAGAGTGAAAACAATTCTAATGTCGATGTAGAGATTAATTACATAGTTGATATCTTAAATAGGAAATGAATAAGAAATTAACTCATAGTGATAACAATAGATCGACTACATGTACATGTATTTGATTGTATCATCTACCAATCATAATCTATCACTCAAATAACAATAATGGCCAAATCGCAGTGCATGTAATTGTTGTTGATCATTTGCACAATATGTGCACGTACGCAGTGTTGTACATTTTGGATGTCCGCGACTTTTTTGAGATGTCCGCGTCCGGTCCGCGGACGTCCGTACTCTTGTGTTATATATAAATATATATCGAAACTTTGTAGATATATGCAAAAATCAATTGTGAACAACTTTAATTAGAAGTTCAAGACAACTTGTCTTAATAAAATTTCGCGTAATTCGACATCAAAGTTGGTTACACAATGTCCGAAATCTGTCCACGATGTCCCATGTACAACACTACACGTACGTACATGTATATTGATATGAAACTACAGTCTAACTAAGTGTACAAATACGTATTAGCGTTAGAAAACAAAAAATACCACTACATGGAAAATAGAAACAGTAATTCACAAAATGATTTATAATTCGTGCCTTCGTTTGCTTGCATTTTGATGCTTTATCAATCAATTCAAGACCTTCTCGTAATATCTATTGCATTTTGATCTCTAAATTTGCTGATTTCAGATAGCATTTAAAAACTTTATCGAATTTTTTTCGGTTTTTTCTTCTGTAAACAAGTGCCGATTTCATATACGTATGCAGTCTCATCACCTTCCAAAGTTAATTTAAATATCACTCAAATGCCTTAATCTAGTCAAGGAAAGTTTCACAACCTTCTTCGCGACATATCGCGCTGTTATATTGAATTGTTGTATCACCACTTTCAACAGGATTGCGGTACGATTCAAATGCTTGTCTCTTCACCGAATTCATAACTCATCGCGACACAAAATCGGGCTTTGCAGATTTTAAATACAATCCAATTTCCTTCTACGGCTGTTTTGCATTTTATTAAATGCTTCCTACAGCGTTTGGTCCAAATAAATAACCGTTTTTTGCTGCTTTAGAACATGGCGATAGGTAATAAGCTTTGTCATAATCCCGAGGCTGAGTTATGTATAGGTAGGCATCACAATCCACTATTTTCTGATGATAGTTAAAAGCAATCTCTAAATTTGTATTAAGCAAAGTGGTTGTAAATAAAACCTAACGTTGAAAGAACATTTTTTTGATCACGTTCTTTTGGAAACCTCAATCACACGAATCTAATAACTTGATTTCGGATTTTTCGACGGTGGGGGTGATATTTTTTCTAGTGTGATTTGTTATTCCTTTAGAGAATATTTAACACCAGATTTTAAATATTGATATGTATCTGTTATTTAAGAAAAAAACATTTTTAACATTATATCAACTACTGCATTAAAAACCTCAAATTGCATATAAATAGTCAGCCCAAATAATTTGAGACTCTAACATGTGCTTTCTTCATTAAATACTATAAGGCGCGTACACAACACTTACGCATGCTCGTCTAAACGATTTGCACAACTTTTAACTGTTCCGCGCGCGTATAAGCAACGCCTCCAAATAACCGTGAGTAAACAACACCCTATTTTATAATATGTCTATTATTATATTTAGTATTATAGTGTACGCGGTACAGTATGGTAAATATGCACAGTCATTAATTTTCATGTCATGTTAACAAACGTCAATGAAATTAAGCAATAGTCTGATGAAAATTTTGGAGACAAGAAACAACAGCTTAATCATCCACTTTTATAGATAATGCAAGCTTTGTGTCTCATGCAATAAAGTGTGTGAATACATTGTATTGCATCCATTTTCTCCATCCCAGCAAAAAAATCAGGGATTGTTTTTTACCCGCATACTGCGCGCCTTTTTATTTGTTCATTTATTGTTTTGAAAGTGGTTGGTTTCGTTCAGCGTAATCTAATCTAAATCAGTCTGTGTTTACGGGTCATTTTTATTTTATTCTCTTCGCCATATGCGTAAATAAACGTTTGTATTTGCTTCGCTACATTCGCCTGCTTTTTCTGCTTGTCCTGTTCTCGTCTGGATCAAGTTGATGCGCAAGATTTTAACGCCAACACGGGGTTCATCCAATCAGCGATCGATCTTTTCATGCACATATATCATACTACGTACATCGTAATATATAGCAAAGACACGTCGAATTTTAATTCGATCGATCGTTCGTGTTTCGCGTCAATGTGATATACGTATACGCATTCATTCATAAAGCGATTAGTGAATTTACTGTAACTCGTGTTCCGATTCTTTTTTTTATTTTCGATAAAATGTTATGATGATGGATGGATGAATTAATGAATGCAAAAATGAAAATGATGATTATTACAATAAAATAACAAATTATTTTGATAACAGGAAAAAGGTTGTATACTACACGATAGGAAACCATTATTTACTATTTACTAATAACGCCCTTGTTAACGCTAACGCTAATTATAAAAATTATATTATTAATTAATGCTAAAACAAAACTAAAAAACTAAAAACTTGGAATATGATTCGCATTACAATAACGAATATGATCAAATTTACATAATGCCCTAAGTTTGCTCAATAACTCCGCATCACAGTTCAACAACGAATAGTCATCTATCCCAATAACCAAATCCCTGGACGCCTGCTCACTCGAAGCATAATCCACCAAAAGTTGAATATTTTCGTGCGGTATTCCTTTGGGTTGATGTAATCCGATTTTTCGTAAAGGTTGTCCGCAATCGCGTAAAAAGTCGGATAACGCATTTTGTGTCATAGGCATATATAGATTTACATGACGCACTGAAGGAGGAAAACCCTCCAATAAATCGTACAGTAGTTCGTCGCAGTTAGCGTGCTCATCTTCGACTCGCAGTGAAAAATAGGAAAGTTGATCACACCGTGAAAGTACATGTTGTAAAGCGATGGTGAGCTTTCCATCATTTGTGTCGGCTAGTACGTCTAAATGTGTGAAGTTCGGACAAGAAGTTGCGACTTTGTGTAATAATTCCGGATGTATACATGTTTGTAGCAGTTGTAGTTCTCGTAAATGCGGTCCAACTTTTTGTATTAGCGAGATTAAATGATGTTCGTTCCCGTAAGAAAGGTTATCACGAAAATGAATTTTCTGTAGACGAAATGGATTACGTAAAAATGGAATCCAAAAGTCGTCAGGAAATTCATCGCATTCATCGAATACTAAAGTGTCCATATTTAAACAGTTTGATATTTTATCAAGTGACATTCCAGAAAGATTACTATTCCTAAATTCAAGACTAGATAATGTGTTTGCTTGATTTGCAAGTGCTGATATGGCGGACATCTGCATCGAAGAAATATCATCGAATGCAACATGTCGAAGTCCTTTTTGAAGTTTTATTAGATCAGCAACTTGTCTTTCGAAACTGACCGAACAACCCTGAAAACCCACTTCTAACGTCTGAATATTCCGACATTCAATTTTCATTGCTGATAATAAATACGAAACGTGTTCGGCATCTTGTTCATCAAATTCATCAAAGTTCACTTGAATATAAACACGCTCAAGTCTTCGTAATGCAGCTGCGGCTCCATTAAATGTGGTGAAATCAGGTAGACTCTGAGTACTGATTGATGCATCTCGTTTCGTCAGCCAAAAACTTGTCAACACTGCTGAACGACTAAAAATCAACTTTGACAAAATCGTAGTAACAGCAGCTATTCGTTGATCATTAACTATATTTGATGTTGCGATTCTCTCAGTGGGTAAATAATCATCATAATACCAATCAGAAACTTTAATGTCTAACGATCGAAAATCAAATTCTCGTATCCAGTTTACATATTCAAAGAATGGCTTTCGTCGTTTTCCCAATTTTATGCCAGCTTGCCGTAACTCTTCACATTCACTTATGTCAAGACAAGCGAGTAATGATTCGATAAAGCGTCCGCTAGAATTTTCTCGTACGCATCCAAATCTCAACGGACAACTCCACAGTACTGAAACCACTTGACGACACCAAGCTCTGCTCACTCGTAGACAAGAGAATAACGTACGACTATCACCCTGTAGATTTACAACGATCTCGCACAGAGTTTCCAGTGGTAATTGAGTTATTCCTTTTTTTTCCATTAATTGATGGTTCTTGATTAACTGATTGAGTTTGGTTTGACACGAAAAAGATGAAAAAAGCTACTAAAGAGTAAAAAAAAAAAAAACAAAAGTCTTGTGTGTTGCGAGTGTTTTTTTGGGTGTATTAATATTTATTTATTTATTTATCATAACGATAAACATATTCATTATATAAGCGTAGGGTAGTGAGTGACAAAAAATGTGAGTGACAAACGCGTGCATATTCTCTTGTTCTATTTAGTCTTTCAATGTGCGTTAAATGTACTACCAAAATAAAAGTAAATAAAATGGAGACAATAGACATGATGGCACATTATCTTTTTGTAGTATTCAGGGGAAATAGAATATCAGTGTACCCGTTGATTGGCTGCTTGCTTCTTCTGTGTGGATCGGGTGACGGGTTTATTCATGCGTTAATTCGAATACTTGGAATTTCTCCTCTGTTTTTCTCTCCAACAAGTTCTATATCGATATCAGTCAGTCTCACTGAGAAATAAAGTTATCTATTTTAGTAGATGTTCGATGAAGCTGCCAATGATTCGGGCGGGTATTCTCTAATAATGGGAAATTAAATTAATTCATTTATAATTTTAATGATATCATCATCATCATCATATCTGCGCCGATTTATTTTAAGCTTACTTGCGATGGATAACCTTCTATCAAAGAAAATAACCATCTTTATGGTTAGAAAAACTAAGATGACGACAATGATCGGTGACGATAATAAAGGAATAAGATCCTCCATTGTCTGTTCGTTTTGTTGCACATATGATTTGTCGAACTACAGCACAAAACGTAAATGGTGATAATTGTTATTTTCTTCTTTATAGCTGTAGTATCAATGTTCTTGGTCTGGGTTCTCTATCGCGATAATAACAACAATAATGATAGTAAATAAGACTACGAAAATTTACTTTCTTTTTCGTACGTCTTTAGCGAAAAATCGGCCTCGCTTTGATCATTAGACAATACTTGGAAGCGATAGATTATTGTAATACTATACACGTATTATTACATGTATTAGTCGTAGTAATGTTAGTAGTATTTGTTGTTTTCCATAAAGAAAAGAATTAATATTACAATAACAAAAGCAATTGTTGTTCGATTGAACAATAGTTTCCCATGGAAGAATCACTGGAAAAAAGATTGTCATCGTTAAAAAATACCACTAATATATAAGTTTTTGGATTTAGCCGATTTTTAGGCAGGTAGATTAAATGACGTAAATTCCCCTCAATTTTTTATACTTCCAACGCAGCTTCCTTTTTCAAATGACAAACATTCCTTTTATTGCTGATTCTACTGTTATACATGTACACGGGTAAAAAAGACCATATAGAATTCCCTTATTGTTACTTTTTACCACCACGTTCAAGCTTTAGTCCGCGCGCGGATTCTTATTCTTGTTATCATCAATTGTTTGATTTCACCAAAAAAAACCATATGACACAGCGCATGATTTTAATAGCTGGTTTTGTTTTTCTAGTTGTTGACCTGTTTCAGAAGAATAAAGTTTAAAGCACTGACTTTGCTAATAACTTATTTGGACACGTTGTTCGAAAATTAATCACGTTCTTAGTGTATTTTGGTATGACAAACGTACAAAGAACCATATTAACGATAGAGCAACACAAAAACACGGAAATAGAAAAACTTACTGTGCATAGATTATCTCATAATACACAATGAAAAGATTATGTTAATGTTAAATTGTTGCTTTAACATCACCGATTTTATGTGGGACATGCCACAATAATCAAAATGGCAAACACCAACAGTGCCACAATCCTGAACCATTTCATATAATACAAATCCAAAAGTATAAATTCTCTTTTTCAGATTGGAATTTATATTTTGGTTTATAGATTTTTCTTGAATTTCTTTTTTCTTGTTAATTGATTTCTAATATTTATATTACCATTTATTGGCCTCTTTTTTATAATGCAACTCATACAATTAAATATTTTCAAGGTTATTTTTTTTATTAGAAAATCATGTAATATTTAAAAATTTTATAAATTTATCTTTAATATATTCTTATCAAAAATTAAAATATTTATAAAATATTAGCTTTAATTATATAATAATTAACAAAAATATGAAATTATATATATAATTTTATTAATAAACTATAATAAAAATTAAATTTTAATATATATTTTTTCTAGATTTTTTTAAATTTTATTTAATAAAATTATTCCAAAAATTTTTTATAATTAATTGTTTATTTTAATTATAATAAATTTTTAATTAGATAAAATCTAAAAATTCAAAAAATTATATAATTAAATTATATATATAATATTATAATTTTGTTAATTATTATATATTATATAATAGTTATTTTTATTTTTTTAATATAATTCAATACAAAAAGATTCATATCTCAAATAATTATTAATAAATTGTTTTTTTAAAATAAAATTTTAATTTTGTCTTATTTAATTAAGTTATTAGATATTAAAATTTATTTTAATATATATATTTAATTATATATATTTTATAATAAATTTTTTTACTAGTAATAACTTTTTTGAATTTTTATTCATAAATTTCACTATATAAAATTTGATTAAAATTAAGATTTAATAATAATTTAATTGTTAAATTTTAGATAATTTCGCAATAATTACTAATTTAATCTTTATAAAATTTAAAATATACAAATTTATAATAATATACTTGCTTTAATTATAAAAAATTTTTGCAATAACTTTAACAGATTAAATCCAAAAAATCCAGAAAAATATATAACTTATAATTTTTATTTTAAAAACTTTTATATAAAACAAAAATTTTAATTTATACTATTTTTTTAATAAAATTATATATATTATTACATAATTTTGTTAGTTACTATATATTAAAATTATTTTATATTA